ATCCTGGTGTCGTCGTCGGGGACCTCATGGGGTCGCCGATGATGTCCCCCAAGAAAATTGGTACCTAGGGGTTTTCGGTCGCGCTGAAGCCATTTCCGGTGTCTGTTTGCACCGAGTTTTTTTCTTACTTTTTGGACCAACCCCTATGTCTTTGTTACCCCCTTTCATCCCCTTAGGGGTGGTTGCCAGGATTTGCACCAGGCGTTTCGTTGTCCAGGAGCGACCCCTAAGATATACCCTGAAATTTGTAGACCTCTAACTCATCTTCTTCCTCTTACACGGACGACGAACGGACGGACATGAGAGCGGTTGCAAAAGCCCGCTTTAATGCTTTTTAAAAAGCAGAAGGGCGGGCTAAATCTAGGTAGATGTACGCCAGACCACGTCTCGCGTAACAGGCTGCGACGCGCCTGGCATACATCCCGTACGACTGACGAATGAGGGATGAGCCTAGTAAGAAGAAGAAAAGAAGATGGTGGCGTAGTGTAGCGCGGACCCATAACAAAGCGACATAACCTGGTCACGAAATTCTTCCAAATAAAGGTTTTGGAGCGGTTCTCGGATATATTTCTATTGGTTGTACGCTAGTACATATTTAAAAGTAATTTGAAAGACACCACTTTGAATATAATCGCAATTCCACGATGCAGCTTTCTGCTTTGTTATGGGTCCGCGCTACGCTACGCCACCATCTTCTTTTCTTCTTCTTACTAGGCTCATCCCTCATAGGGTGTTCCAGGCTTAAGCGGAAGTTGGAAAAGAACAAACTCACTGACTTTTCTGTTTCCGTAATGGCTCTTATTGGTCGAGCTGATCACGTGCCTTCACGGCCTTTCAGGTATGAGAAACTGTCGGATCAGTTTCGAGCTCCCGTCCATATTTGAGAGGTTAGAATCGGACCAAACTATCATGGCAATAGATGGTTCCGGCAGTGCCGGTTTAAAGAAGAATTAATGAAATCACCGCCGGAAACAGTTCTAAAATAATGGCTTAAATCAGTGAAAACTAAAATTGACAGTTACTAGGGATTTAATCGAGGTCATTCACGTCGAACTGCACTGTCAAATGACAAAGATAAGCGCACTTTAGGTACTGGTTCCGGTCCCGACTTCTTCATTTCTTCTCTAAAGGCGCACTGTCGGAACGGTCTATTTCTCATACTGAACAGGCGGAAACAGATAAATCAGTGAGTTTGTTCTTTTTCACTTCCGTTTCGGATAGCCTGGAACACCCTATCGCAGCCCGGCTAAACGGCGCTAGCATTATATCTAATATATCAGCATTTCCTCTTTACCACTGTGGGTTACTTGTTGTCGAGTTGGCGTGGACAGCGCCTTTTGCATGCGGAGCGGTGATGTAAAGATGGCACCTTCGTGATAAATGTAAGAGCGGGCATTCTAGTTACTAATTGTGATCCCCAAGGAATGAAGACCCTACTTCTTCGTGATAAATGTAAGAGCGGGCATTCTAGTTACTAATTGTGATCCCCAAGGAATGAAGACCCTACTTATTGGTGTACTTTCGGGATGGAAATGGAACTGACAGCTGGAAACTACTTCTGTTTGAAGGGAATAGTGCGCCTGTCTGTTGAACATACTTACACTAAAATACGCCGCTCTCAGTTCGTCTTTTTTTTCTAGATCGGTATCTCCAAGACCATTTTCCGTTATGATAATGGGCAGCTGATAGGTAGTCCACGCCCAGAGCACAGCATCGCGAAGCGCGTCAGGGTTTATCTGCGGGTAAGAGTTTAATCGGGGTTACTTTTGTGTTATTTTTCTGAAAACGACTACATGGCCTAACTTTGTCCTACCGCCGAATACAGGTCCTTTAAGTTCTGTGAAGTATTGAGTTCTCCAACCGACACAAAAGGAAGATCCTTTAGAAATCCTCCCTGCGGATACTCTGGTGCTACTGTGGTGTTGGCATCAGGGTCCTTCCACGACACGCTCGCATATGAAAAATAGACGTTGAACCCGAAGAAATCCGCCGTGCCTAAAATCAGGGGCAGTTCAGAAGCTGGTTATAAACTAGGCCAAAGGCAAAAGCAGCACGCAGCCTAGGAAAAAAAGAAAATTAAGCTCGAATTTAGGAGAAGTGTGTAGTTGTGTGCGTAGAAGGGATGAATGAAAATCTAAGATAGAAATAGGAGGATCCGGAGGAGGAAAAACGAAAACGAAAAACGAAATCTCGGGTCAATGTCGTAAACTAATCAGGGATGTTTTGAAATGACTCCAAACGTGAAATACAACCAAAAAAAAACAACGAAATGTATAAGAGAAGTTAGAACGCATTTCGTTGCTGATGTGCCCCCATAACATAAGCCCACTCTTGTGCTTGGAAGAAAAGAAAAGAAAAAAGAAATCTAATGGCTTTACTAAGACAATCTCGTGACATTTTTTTTTGTGGGGGGGGGGGATTTGGTAAGAAACACTTTTTTAAGTGCCCAAACGGTGAAAGATGGAGCCAAAGAAACGAAATTTTCACCCACATGATTCTAGTTGAATGGCCTACTCCTTAGGGAGCCATATCAAAGAGTTAGAACAATCATTTTGTTTTGGAGTGAACTCTTTTGGAGCGCCTAAACAGTAAGAGATAGGGTGATTCAACAAAAATTTTGCCCATAGGTTTCTACTTGTGCGAGCAACCCATTGGAAAGCGATATCAAAGAACCAAATCTTAAATTTTCTTTAGGGTCCATTTCTGCTGTAGAAACGCCCTCAGTGAGAGATAGAGCCGGACAGACGAAATTATAGCCGACCGGCTTCTACTTTCGCGAGTGACCTCCCAGAACACCATAAAAAAAGCTCCAAGCGAGAGTGTTGTTCTGTAATTCACAGTTGGAAGTGCTACTTGAGTTTCTTCAGCCCCACTCAGGAAAGGCTGTGCAAAGAGTTTTCTTGTTTGATTTTTGACCCAATCAAAATGATCCTAAATTGAAACCTGAATCCTTCTAGTTTGCTCAGAAGTACAATGTAAATGACCAAGGACATTCTGTAACTAGGGATGTTTTTAAAGATAACTAATAAGTTACAAATATTGTCGGTAGTTAGTTACTTTTTGTAACTAACAACACAATTGGCAGTCAAATTTGTATCCTGCTTAGTTATGTTTAAAATAGCCCGTAGGTAGTCTCAAAAATGGTCCAGGAAGCAGAAGAAGGGGATAACTGCAAAACATCAAGTTTTCAGAAAACACAAAAAACTGATTTACACTACAAATTCAAAATCGTTCTGAACTTTTATTTTTCATTCGTATGGGGGCAGACCTGTAAATGAAAGGGTTTGGGAAAATAGTCGCTACACAAAAACTACACGCCGCATAAATTTAGGATTAAAGGGGTATTAAGAGCGTAAATAGACGCTAATTTTGCCGTTAGCGCCGGTGCGCGCACTCTCCAGGAACATGCCCATCTTTGCCTTCAACTGGACGATCCAGTCCTTTTCAATTCGATTTTTTTCCAACTATTCAAGTAAAACTAGAGGTTAAAACGGATCAGTCAACTTGACACATTTTTCATTCTTTCATATCTCAAGAACTATGGCACGTGGGCAAACAATATTTTCGGGAAATGTGCCTGTTATACTGTAGATAAACGGCTACTAAATATCTCAGTTTGCGATTATGTCAGTTAATCCCTTCTTCCGCTTCCTTCATCAAACGTCCATTTAGTGTGTACCTCTGCAACACTATGCCAGCGATCTGTACTTTTGTCATGTCAGTTTGTAGAACACAAAGTAGTCACTTACGCTGTCACATTGTCCGCTGGCACCTAAAAGAATTGTTTAATAGGATTTATCATAGCGTTTACCAGTAATTTATCGAACGACCAAAGAAGATTATTTGCAGCACTTTTACGGGGCCACCACTCGCGTAATCCTGGGTACAAGTGCCAGGGATTACACCAGTAATCCCTCGTAATCTCGCGTAATCCCTCGTAATCTCGCGTAATCCCTCGTAATCTCGCGTAATCCCTCGTAATCTCGCGTAATCCCTCGTAATCTTGTGTAATCCCGCGTAATCCTTCGTAATCTTGTGTAATCCCGCGTAATCCCTCGTGATATCGCGTAATCCCATGTAATCATGCAGTAAATCAGTGCAATCGCACGTCAAAATGATTGTAGTCGCACGCGGTCAGAGACTACAGCGCCTTGCAGATCGGCAACCCATTATACACACACATAGGTAGGCAACACGTCGGCACGCCATGCAGGCGCCGTCCTTCTACTCATCACGAGCGTCTGACCTGATCGCCCCCCCCTCCCCCCACACAACTCGCTCGCCTCCGCCTCGTTTACCACCAACGGATCGGATACCGGCCACTTTGTTGTTGGTACGAGTCTTGGATTTAGTTTAATTCGCTTGTTTTGTTGAAAAAAGTAGTTGATGTCGACGAACCTCTAAGCAATTGAATTTGATCTGCTTAGCCTGTCAGTTAATTTGACATCGGGCTGGAGACAAACGGAACGGACGATCGGAGGCCATCAACCACTTGCTCACTCAGTAAAATGAAAAACCAGAAACCGGTAGAAAACTCCTCGATTTCGAGGGGTAAAAGATTCTGATTCGCCGGATCTCCGGAAAGCGGGCTGATACGCACAGAAACCGGAGTGTTCGTACCGTTTTCTGTGAGGCGTCGCGCTTTTCGTTTTTTAGGCACCTGTTTTCGGTTTACGTCATCAGTGACGTACGAATAGTGCAGGGGGACACAAAGCAGACTATCCTCAACACAGTCGCCGATAAAGTAGATTGTGTGGTGAGTACCGGATGCATACGTGTTACATTATGCGTATGAAGTACAAGAAAAACAAAACAACGAACGACATTTGCTTTTCGAACGTCTTACTCGCCTGAACCATATAGTTCGTTTTATATTCGCTTTTCAACAAACTTACTCTACTCCGCTCTAATTCTATTCTCGACCTATTGTTCAATTTTTAACATTTTTATACAAAGGTAATTTTTTTACACAGGCGCCCGGTGGTTAGGCAACCCCTCGTGCTGCCGTGACCGGCGGGCCTGCCTACAGAACAACTTGCCAGGCGCTACCACCGCTACCGCCGCAACCTAACCTCAGCTGACAGAGGGTATTTTTCATATCGCCGAAGCTCACCCATTCATTCTGCTCGTAGCTCGGCCAAATCATTCCAGTGAGGACTACAGACTCCACAGGACCCAAGTCGCCGCCTGATTATCACCATTTCTTCTGAATTGAACAAGTAAGTGAACGGGATAAAATAGAAACTTCCAAAACAATGGTTTGAATCTTAGCCCTTGATTCGTTTTTTTTTTGTCAATTGTAGTCATAAATGTAGTGAAAACAATATTTTTGACATTGTTCATTTAATTTGGGATATTGTATATTTATTTGGGGGGATAAATCTCACAGTAATATTAAAGTCCCTTAAATCATTGTTCAGATACTAAGTCATTGTAGAAAGCACCTTAACCAAAACATTAGGATTCAAAAGAAACACTCATCTTTTAAAGCTCTAGTCATATTAATCTCAAATGTTTTGTTATGTTTCAGCATGTACCTTGTAGCACATTGGTACTTGGACAGTGAACTCAAGTGTTCGTACTTTCGTGATGAGGAATGGTCTACGGCTTATTGTTACCAGGGAAAACTTTTTTTGCTCCGGAGTCGTGACTTGAACAAATAAAAGTTGGCATTTGTGTGGGGTGTTGGAGGTAAGCAGAAGTTCAATAATACATGCATATGATACCGAAGTCTGTGTACCATTAATTGTGCTTTGCCTGAGAATGGAAAAAAGAGTAAAGAGTCTGAATGTTATTTCGTCTGTTTAGATACGCTGATTATTGCCTCAAGAGCAGCAGGTGTTTCCATAGTGAAGCGAGGAGTTTTGAAGCCTAGTGAACTGTATAAGAACCGTGTAGAATGTATCTTAACTATTCAACTAACTTTTAATGTCAGTTTACGTTTCAAATGTTTTTTAATGATATACATTTAGTAGAGAAGTGACATTATTATAAAGATGCCTTTGAATGTAACATTCTGAACTTTGGTGCAAAATTACCTAGCCAGAATTTGTTTCAAATTATAATAACGGGCACAAATTGACTCATCTGTGTTTCTTATCAGCTGCAACATACTCTCTAGTAAGTTGAATCCCTATTTTGTTTCAAAAGATTGTCAGAAATGGTAATTATAAGAAATCAACTTTCAAGCATTCTAATTTGATATGATTTTACCCCACACTTGATCGTTTCTTCATAGTTACTGTTGTATAAAGTACTGATGTGATAAAGCCTTTCCAGCTATTAATATTCAGAAATACGGCCAAAATTTTACGGGAACCAGGTGTTTTACATTTACATTTTGTATAATTTGTAGGGGATCTTTCCAATCTGTTTTCAAACACAAGTTGCCTATTTTTCCCAAGATTAGTAGAAAGAAAGAAAAAGAAACTTACCTAAACTTAAGGCACGTCATGGAGAAGTATTTATATTAGAAGAAATCATACAACAGATGTTTGCTACATTTTCTATATAGTATTTATGAGCCATGCAACCACAGCTCCGTCTTTAACTATGACCTGAAGATGAAGCTCACTATACTTTATCATTAAATTACTTCCTCTGTACAATTTTAACCATATATCCACCAATATATTATCGTAAAGTATGTAAAGAAAATCTGTTTTACTCAAGATATGTTGCTGTACACGCTTTCTTAATAAATCAACCACACATATCTGAGATCCTTTTCGATTTCCCAACTCAGCCCACTCATGCACTACCCTCGCAGGCAAATTAGTTCCATGTCATGTTACTACAGCTCCTTTGAAAGGAAACCTGATGGAAGGCATCGCTGGATATTCAAATGTTGACTAGAATGAAGTATAAGAACAAAGAGAAATCTTTATTGCTGTCAATGATTCAATCAATATTGGAAACTGCACTTCCAATGAAATAAAATAAAAATGGTATACTTTGTATAATAAAGAAAAATAGGTTTCTTTGCAACAAATAAAAATGAAATAGAATTGACACAGCACAAGGACAAATAACTGGTATCACATTTAAAAGATTCAAAGATTAGTCTTAAACAAAAGAAAGAGGTAAAATACCGTGGTTAAATTAGACGGCTGATTGCCAAGGCTGATTTGGTAGGCATAACGCAAATTCTTTAGATTGAATAGGGCTACACAAACTGCAGTTCACGTAGCAAATCAAAAAGTTTGCCATTTTTGGAAATATCTTTTGCTAACTTCTTGGGTCCAAACAAAGTAGTGCCCAGAAATAGCAAGGGCATCCTTGTGAGTGTTGGCCACTTGATGTGCAATACAAAATATGCTCCAAATAGCATGAGCAGACTTTTGATGGGATCCTTGCAAGTGAAGAATGGCTCTGTATCCACATAGCACTGGATAGAGAGACTTCCTGCAACTTCAGTCCCACTAACAAGAAGTCTTGGTGGGTCCCTTGCTGAGGGTCTCATTCCATCTAGTGGGGGTACCTTCCTAAAAAAACAAAAACAATAAAGTTAAGAACCATAGACAAATATTAATGTTTTAAAAAATAAACTTACAATCATGTATAATCCAGATGAATACCAAACTGTTTACCTCAAAGTACTGGAGGACTTTTGCAGCATTATTATTGGCCTGTGCTTTTTTGTGCCACAAAGCAACCAGGTGAATGTTTTCTAGGATTGAAAGCGTATTTTCACCTGCAGAGTAACAATTTATCAAATCTCAAACTCTATAGTATGAAAGTAGAATTGATCAGAGAAATAAAAGTGTTAGATACTTTAAACATTAAGAAAAATGCTGTGTTCAAATGTTGGTGAATAAACATCAAGCAAGAAGTTAATCAAGGACATAGAAAAATTTGAATTTTGTAGAAGTCTTTCCATATTATAAACTAGGAAAAGATAAAAAGTCTTATCTGGAAAGTTAGGTTCTGAGAAAGGGCAAGAAAGGGTTCTTACTTGTAGTCCCAAACGCTCTGATAGGGATCTTTGACTTCAAGAAATAATCTATCAGTTTGGGCAGTGCCGTCAGCCAACTTCTCACCATCTCGTCTTCTGTAAGTTCAACCATACTCTCCAGTTCACTTAGAACCTACAAGAAAGAGAAAAGAGCGATTAAAATGCTTAAAACAACTGAACCTGTGCTCATGCCAGAACAAAACAGAAATATAAAACTAACTATAAGGAAAAGAATGGTTCTCAACTCACAATTTGACTGAGGTGAAGTGCTGGAAAGTTTCTTAGCAATTGAAGAGCTGGAGTTTTACTGGCTTGGGTCTGGAAATGCTCTCGTACTAGAGGAAATAACACAGCATAGGTAGAGACAGTACGAACCCCTCTAAACCAATGGTCTCTCATTTCTTCTGCGGCTTTCTCAGGTGGAAGGACTAGATTGGACGGACGGATCAGTACGATTAACAGAACTGCTGGTCTTAGTAGCACCTGATTCGACTCTCAGACGATCTCTCCTTCTCCGCAATTTCTCTAGAAGCGCTTTCTATAAAATATATCAAAAGCTGGTTATTCCAATTCATCTTAAGTTATAAATGAAAGACACCACACAATGGCTTTATGTTCATGAAAGACCTCAATAATACTTACTCCATTGGGGTCCAAAGGACTTTTCATAGGAGAATATTTGTAGAGAATTTTGCGAGCTGCAATTGCCAGACATCGATTGTTGTCTAACTTTTTCTCATAGAGTTTATCAACTATACCTCTCACAATTGTACTTTTGTGATTGAAAGTCAAAGATCTATTTTCCAAAGCTTTCTGAACCTTGACCGGAAACCTCTCAGGGAACTCCTTCTCAATCTCATCTGAGTTAGGCTGCAGCAAAATTTTAATTTCACAGCAAAAATATACTTGAAAAATAAATAAAGTATTAGTCCTCAAGACCCATTAACTTACATCAGAAGTTGATTTAGAATTTGGGTCCATTAAAGACTCAGCATTGCTAGGCAACTCCAGGTAAACAACCTGATAAAAACAATAAAAAAATTCTCATTTTAGTAGAAGGAACAAATGGACATATAAGTAAAGTAAAAATTAAAGCAGATACATCTTGAGATACATACATCAGTCTTTGATGGAACACCAGGCACAGCAGGATCAATTGCTACAAAAAACAAGTAGTTAGATATTTTTTGTATGCAACACTACAGAGCACCCACTAAAGCAATGAGAGCAAACCAAGTAACCAGATACCTTCAACAATTTCCATGTGGGCTGGAGCAGGACATTCACAGTACGAGCAGGCTGAACGGGTAGAACCCAGTTCAAGTTGATAGGCTCCACATGGACATTTCGTGCACTCTCCTCTCTCAACATTTCTAAGATCTTTCATTGTGAACTGCAACATGAAAAAAGACAAAATAAATATTAGATACGGGGTGTAACAAGATTCACAATATTGCATTTTGTACACCACTCACCACAGTAATTTTTAAAAAAATAAAAAAAATAACAAAACATTAACAAAAAGCAGCAGGTGAAGTAATGTTTAAGCCAACTTTACAGTACACACTCAGATGAACATGCCTTTAGTACAATATAAAGGACTCCCTTCACCATGTGAGAATGATATGGAATGTGGCTGATTAGGTCCCTTGGATCATGAGTGCAAAGTTCCTTGGTCACAGAAATTTTATAAGCACCTAGATGTACATTACGCTGTTTGGTTTGGACTTTCTCACACACAAAGAGTAACCCAGGGTGAATCACAACACGAACAACTTTAGCAAATACTGGTAAAAAGTCTTCAACGCCTATGCAAATAAAACATCTATTTGGCACAATCAAAATGCCTCCAAGATTGAGCCAATTAGTCTGAATGATATTTCCACTAAATGGCAAAATGGATATAATTTTCTTCTCTGATGAATCCATTACTTTACATGGTCCACATTTGTTGCTTTTAATCAAGCCCTTATTTAACCAGTCAGGGGCCTGTTGAAATTGGTGTTTTTCTGACAGCGAAAGAGGAATATTTTTGTAGCAGCACAGTATATTAACAATATTTTTAAAATACTTGTGCTTTGCTTCACAGCGCAGACACAAGTAGTTTACGAGTGAACCCATTTGCAAAATTAATCCGGGCACATGTATGAGAAAATGCTGCTTTGGAATGAGGTCTCCAAATAACTTTTGGTAGTCAGTTAAATAGGTTGCAATTGCATCACGTAGATAAGAAACCATCCACTTAGGAATATCAATGGTAAATACAATTCTGCAAATTTCCAAACAGTCCATGTAATTCTTGAAATGTTTATCGTCAGTAGAAATCAAGGGGCCAATAATGAGAGGAAGAATAATACCCAAAAGCCAAGTTTGGCAAGCTGATTGGTGAATGGTTGCTTCTCTGGATTCAAGATGTTCTTTCTTAATTTTGGAGGGTCTGTCACTCTCTTCAGAATAATCAAAATCAAAATCTTGTATAGCTGCATTCAGCCAATCCAATGTAAAAAGAGGATTTTTCTTCTCAAACAAGTGATAATAAAGCAATTTCTTAATTGCAATTGGGAGCCAGCCCTCCAAACAGTCATGAAGTTCATCTGGAGGACACCCACCAATAATGTGGAAAGACTTTAAATCATTCAGTACTGATTCCCTATTAATACCATATCGAGTGCTCAGCTTTGCGTTCTTGCCTTTTGCTGTCTGGACTTCGTTGCACTGCTGATCATGAGAATCCTTATCTCGCATAAGCACTAAATCTTCTTCCACCATTGTACGCACTTGCTCAAGTATTGCCACACAATAACGACAACAGTGTGTAGCGGTAAACCCTTCTTTGAATCCAGCTAAAGAATGTATGCCCAAATTGTCTCCTATGACTGCAATAAGGGTGCCAAAAATAGTCTTGCCCCCCAGAACAACCCCGTCTTCAAACTTTTTGAGATCATTCATAATAATTTCAAGCACACAGTCCATTCCATACTTGGAAGACTTGATTAGATTTGCATTGACAAGTGCAACTAAACAAATGTTGGAGAGGTTTGAGCGGTACTTAAGAGGCATGTTGTCAAGAAGGATGTAAAAAGCACCAAGCTTCTGTTTGTTTGCTTTGCTTTTTAGTGGCGAACAAACCTCCAAGTCATCGTAATACAATATGAACCTCAATGCATCGGGGTGATCTCTCAGAACTGTATTACTTTTACATTTTTCTCCCTTCATGTATGAGTCTAATATCTCAGAATTAGCTGTAGAACTTGACTTGTTCTCAACAAAATTTTTATAGTCCGGGTGATTAACTAGTTTTTCCATAACTTTGTCTACTGGAACATACACAACATTTTCGAACTTCTTTACTGTCACACTGAGTCCTTTGCGTCTTGTTTTATGAAACTCTGCTCCAATTGGTATGACCACTGGTGACACAACATTAAGTTTATCTTTGAAATATTCATTCCTTTGAGTTTCAGATTTGACATTAACAAATAAGTCAGATTTGGTCTGAATGGTCTCAGCCACATTTACAATATCGTTCAAGTCAACATTAAGTTTCTTCAAACCCTCCTGAATTTCAGAAGAAAATTCTCTCAGTGCATTTGCTACAAAATTTTGGGTATCACTCATGACTTCACTCAGGTGAGACTTTGGGATACTCCCCCCCCCCCCCAAATTTTCAAAAGAAAGCAAGCACCCATGTCCAAACCAGCATTATCTGAACTTTTTTTTACTTGAGTTGGGAGTGGAGCTGTTGCAGACAAAATGTCATGAACTTGCTTGTCAATAGTCTGGCCTTTTTGAAATTCTTCCTCCACATCAGAATCAACCTCACTACCAACATCACCACACGCACTCTCATCACTCGCAGGGAAATAGAATGTGACAACATTCTATGCTTGCCAGATTATCACTGTCTTTGACTTCAGTAATGCATTCCTCGGGTTCACTGATACTCACACTACTGGAACGAGAACTCTTTGAGGGTTTAGAGTCACAAGAAGAGACAGACTTCCTTTTTCTCCTCTCACAAGAATCTTCACTGCCTGAGTGTTGCGGGGAGAACGATTCACTCCCAAACTCACTACTTGGGCGAGGACTTTTGGAAGCTGGTGCGTCACTTGATGAATGGGACTTCCGTTTTCTAGAAGTACTTGCTTGGACAGGAGCGAAAGTTTCTGTCACACTTGGAGGACTTTGAGAAAGTGGTGCATCTTTTGAAGAAACGTCCCTTCTTTCTTCACTGTGGTGTATTTTATACCAATGTTTGGAAAACATCGCCAATGAAGAATACTTCTTTGCACATTTGCACATCAGAGACAGATCACCATCTTCGGAGTGGAAGTCTCTTAAGTGTTTAAGAAACAAACGCCCTGTTGCATGCTCAGTTTCACACTTCGAGCAAAACATCTGAAAAATGTTCAATGGATGACATTTCATGATGATGCATATGAGAACCCAAAACATACATGTGTAATTTGGGATGACAAACACATAACCAAACAAAGAGGGCAAGAAATAACAAAAATAAATACTAGACATACAGACCAGGGATAGCTGCAACTGCTGCTAAAAATTAAATTATATGATGAGAGGATGTAGCAGGTGGAGGTTAAGGGGGAATAATGAACATGAGAGAACCCTGCTCAACTACACCAACATAACCTCCTCTAAACTATTCTCAAGGAAAATTAACCCACCGAACACAATGACATACAAGACTACAATTTACCAGAAATACTCACGATTTATCCAAAGTCAAACTTCTGAAAAAATGGTCTGGTGCCTGTGGGTACAAACTAACCTCTGTAAAAGAGAAAATGTCGTAGTTGTAATACGAGGATAGCAATGAATGCGTTACCGTAGGTTTTCGTAGCAAAGTCAAGTTCAAAAGCAAATTTGTAAGCTAAATAAATCTATTTTTAAAAAAATTAAAAAATATATACATTTGTTTGGCATTCCCTCTCGTGCCAAGCAAATGGGCAGGCAAATTACCTCCATCCACTGCCGACCACAACACACCAACGAACTATCTAACATTTTATTCTTCATTTGTTCCTACATCACCGGCCGACGGCCGACACACAAAGTTCGGCGTCGACGTAGTTCACACAAGTGTCCGATAGATGGCAGTAGTCCATATCTAAGGCTACTTCTATCAACAGGGAAAAATGCACCTGTGCCAAACACTCCTGAAGTAACATTACATTTATTCAGTCAAGAAAAATTGGATTACAACAGAATTTTGTGATGTACATCGAAATCCGCGAAGTCTCTCCGGATTTCGAGAAGCTTGGCGCCGAAAACGGTATGGTGTCCCATTATCTGCCATCGGCTACCGAAAATCGACAAAAACGCGCCGATTTTCGAACAAAAATCTCCTCGGAATTTTTTACCCCCAGTTTTCGGTGTTTTTAGCACTTTGAGCCTACCGGTTTCTGGTTTTTCATTTTACTGAGCAGTCGGTTGTGTTATTAGCAGATAATACATTTGTAACTGAAACTTTGAACATTTCACATAACTGAAATGAATAAGAATGATTTGTCAAATGTGTCATTGCTTGTACTCTCATGTAGTCCAGAGAGGCACAAGGCGTGACGTCACCAGAAGAATACAGGGTGGCTTGGTGTTGGTCCCGTCCGCGCGCCACAGCT